GACATTGAGAAATGCTTCCAGGGCTGAGACACCACTCTGAGAAGGCTTCTGCGCATTTATTCCTCTTTGCTTCTGCGCACACTGGCTTCCTTTTCACTGGAGCCGAGGGATCTCTACAGGCCCAGCGCTTCACAAGTGGGAACAAGGAGAGAAGCCCTAGGAACACGGCACGAGTGAGAAGCCCTCTTTGTGTCCAGCAATGGAAGGCCTGTGCTGGAGGGTGGAGAGGAAATACAAGGCACTTTGCTAATTGAAGCAGAAAAGGACTCAGAGTGTGGCTGTCACACATCAAAGTGTGGACCTTTTTCTTGAAATTCCCATTAAAACTTTGAAGTAGAGAGACTGAGATGAGTCTACTGTTCCTAACTGAGGAGTCCTATTATTTAATAATTTATCCCTCCTCCACTTCCTTTTTCAAATGGAATGAAGGAGAAATAAACTCATTAACTAATGAAATTAATTTAATTGTCTTCAAGGATATTTTAAATCAATTATTATGTCTATTGTTGTCAAGTGCTCGTTAGGAAAGGGGGAAATAACAAAGAGGTACTGGCCACCATCCCCGCGGAGACCAGCTGGACAGGCAAGGTGGGCCCCTTCACACCCTCATTGCAACAGGTGAATGACTCTGAACTCAGGTGCCTTGATGCATTTGTCACCATCGTGGTAGGAAATAGAGAAATGCAAATACAACAACTGAGTCTGACCAAGTAATTTGCCCACAGCTTGACCCCAGAGAGTACGAAACCTAAGGGTGGGAGCAGGAGCTAGAACAGTTCCACCCAATTCTAAATTCTATGCCTTAACTAATACCTCCTAACTGTGCTCCTAAACACAACTGAGCACCTGAGTAATGATGGTCCAATAGTAGCCAAATAGTAGCCAAAATTTCAGGGAAATGTCCAAGATGCCTAAGGCCCAGAATGGAAAAGGTATAAACTAAGTAGAACCTTAGCTCCACTCAGAAACAGGAGTAATTTCTGAGTATGAAAGGATAGGAGAAAATGGCATCTCATGAGGAATCTAAACTTATCTGGGAAGGATTCCTGGAAATGTCAATAAAAGAAAAATATTAAATTCGCACAAGGGAACTTCGTTCCAATTAAAACAACTTCAATTCATTTGCTGTCAAGCATTATCTTTTTACAGATATCCTGATCTGTTAAAATTGATCAGAACATGAATTTTTTTTTTTAAATCACCCTTCCCAAGAGTGGGAGCAGTGATCAGTCACAGAATTTGGGCAGTCCCTCCTGTCACTGTACTGTGAGGAGTGCTACGAATCTGCCTGATCAGTAGTCGGGTACCAAGTAAGTAGAACCACGTTTGGCAGCATGTCAGGCACCAAAATAATCCCTAAAGGGTCCACTCTACAAACATCTGACCCGCTTCATTTCTTTCTTCTGTGCTCAGAACTGAGTAACTTTGCTCAACTCTAGAAAGGGGTTCGGTAGTAGGTGGGGTGACTTGAGAAAGACCCTCCACGCCCCACAGCTGGGAAGGCTGCTCTGCTGCTGCGGGCTCTGCATGACTCCTCCTGGAGAGAGGGATCTGGAGAGTGGGAGGAGGAGTTTTTCACAGGGCTTCTGTGGCCTCTGTTACCATGGTAACCGTCCCCTTTGTTTGCCTGGATCCAGAGCTGCTGCCTCATGTAGTGTCTGGCATTCAGGTGAGGCCGCTACATGATGGCATTAGGAAAATGAGGACACAGAAAAACAAAGCAGCCCCAGAAAACACACGTTCACACACCCTGGCACCTGGAAGTCACAGCTGGGATGACTTTCCAGACCTCTCGGCACTTTCTCTGTGAGTCCGTCAGCGTCACAGGATTGCAGCTGCTGGGGAATGAGATGCACGGGGACCTTCTGGCTCTGTTCCGTCTGTCATTCGGCTGGGTGAATTTCACCTGCTCTCTGATTCCTGCTGTGCGCTGCTCTCTTGCCCCCAAGGAGAGGTCACTTGCCTTGTCAGACTTTGCCTGACCTCCTCCCTCTGCCCTCCGCCTGAATTCCCTGCTCGGTCTCCCATTGGCTTCTTCGGTGTCCATGATCACAATTTGTAACCTGTTTCCTTTCGTAACCGTCCTTTCTTCAGTCTTTTCGTGGGAGCCCCGGTGAGACTTCAAGCTCCATGAGGGCAGGAATGCTGCATTCATTCCTGTGTAGTGGAGTCAGACGAAGGGAGTCACACGAATGGCAAAAAATGAATATTTGTGCAGTAAATGAATAGTATGATCGCTTTAGAACACGAGGCAGGAGGCTGAGACTGAGTCCTCGCCCAGCACATTGGAGTCTCCCCCATCCTCTTTTCTCTGAAATGAACAGCAAACTAGACTCACATTCAAATTGAAGAACATGACCCGAGTCTCAACTCAGTGTTACTCGCACTGCAGTGTCTGCTGCACGACAGAGCCTTCGCACATCTTCACCCAGTCACGTATTTGTGACTGAATAGTGAGGGTAAGGGAGTATCAAGCTGTCACTCAAGGAACGAGGGCACCCAAGCTCTCGGTACAAACTTCTACCAGGTATGATTACCCCATCAGCTTGAGACCCGAGAAAGAGAGGGCCTCGGGTCTTCTGTTCTAAAGGCTAACAGGGCAAGTCCAGGAGGAAGTCTATTGCACAGGAAGGGAGGGCAGAAAGTGGCAAATGGCTGAATACAGAGGATAGAGGGCTAAAAATGCACAGCATTCTTTCACTATTTGATTGTCCTGTTCTTCGGAAACCCACGGATTCATTTGCTTTCTTAATCTGCCTGTATTAAGAGATATCCACGGAAGCTATGGGGGAGTCTCATCCTTCTACTCCATACTGGAATATCTTTCCAAATCTATAATGGAATGAATGAGAAATGGGTAAATCTTATAGAAAAGTACATTTTAAACAACCTTGATGGGACTTGTTCTTTCCAAGATACAGAAGAATTTGGTTAAACAAAATGTCCTCATGTTTATTATTGTCCTATATATGTAAAAACACAATAACAAACAAAAAATCAATCAAAAACAAAATTCCAAGTCCTAAACAACAGCTTTCATGAGAAAGATCTGCTAATTCCACAGCTAGGAGGTAAAGTCAGAGACGAAGATCATGAAGTGGCAAAGTGTCTCACATACTAATCTCTAAAAATAATTCCTAGAAGGGAGAGTCATCAAACTTTTGATAATTTCTCAGTGATTATATTAATGTCAAAATCAGAATTATTTTAAGGAGATGAAGGTAGCTTTACCTTTCCTGAGAATCCAAGTTATCTCATAAAAGATTCTCCACCTTATTGGCTAACACAGTCAGGAAGCTTACTGTTCCTCCTTTGCAAAGTTCCAGGCTTAATGGTCTGAGATGGTATGGTTGGCCACTCCTAGGTTTTGAGTTTATGTTACAAGCTTAGCTGCAAGAGAGCCAGGGAAATACATACTGGATGCCTGGACTTATATCTATCTTGTGGACTCTATCACCCACCAGGGCATGTTATGAGAGATTCTTTAAGTCTGAAAAAAGGTTTTGAGATGATGGTCAGTTAAAATTAAATACAAATATTTCCTGTATCCAGATATACAATAGGCTATGCAAGAACTGATGGGTCTCTTGACTCAAAACTGTTAAAAAAAAAATTGAGCAATCTCTTGCCTCGCTCAGGAGCTGGTAAGAGAGATTGGCATTTTATGTATAAAAGTCAAATCAATAGTATATTCTTTTGTGGGTTCTGTCACAATTGAGCTTGCCACTTTAACATGAAAACAGACATAGAAACTACATAAATAAGTTAATGCAGATACATATCAATAACACATTATATAGAAGCATAGGTTGTTTCCCTGTGGTTGTAGTTTGCTGATGCACAGAGCATGTGCTCTGGGGCCTGATTGCCTGGGTCTGGCCACAGCCACTCTCATTTGTGATCTGGGGCAGTTTTCATTATATCTATGCCTTGGTGTTCTCATCTATAGAGCAGGGCACTCAAGCACTTACTACATGGAGTTACTGTGAAAATTATATAATATCTCTACAATGAATGAAACAGAACTTTGACACACAGAAATTGCTCAAAAAGTCTGCCAAGCATTGTTCTTGTATCAGGAATTTAAGTATCAAATAAGAGCACCATACATGGTTTCCTTAGTCTTCTCAATATCGCTGTCTTTGGAGACCGGTTCCCTCTACCCCACAAACAGATACTGGTTAATGCACATTGGCCAGTGAGGTGGACAACATCAGTTCCGTGCTCCAAATATGAGTAACTCAGGCCACACCAAATAAAGTTTGTTTGTATGTTTACCCCTGGCCACTGAAAATATTTTTGATGAGCACATGATCTAAGCTGAGTTCTCCTGAGGCTTTCATCTATCAAAAGAGACTTTAATACAAATAATTCATAATTCCCAATGCCATGAGCCAATAAAAATACTACTAATACAAGATAAATAAGTCATAGAGTGTATAGATCTGCGGTTTTCAATCAGGCTTACCTAGGAGGAGCTGTTTTCTTTTGTTTGTTTGTCTGTCTCAATACATACTCATCTATTCCAAATAAATCTAATAATTCAGTATTTTAAGAGAAGGGATTACAGCATATGTATATAAGAAACAGTTAGATTTCTGTGGGCACTTGAACTATGCTTTCACCTTTTATACAGATCCACCAAAATATGTAGAATTAAATTACAAAGAACTCATTCAACTGCAGCTCAAAAGGTATTTCTTATAGTAAAACTGTATACCATAATACCATAGTGCTATGGGATGGAGAACAGATAAAGTTAGGAATAATGGAAAATAACTATATTAGATAGAATTATTTTGATTTCCAGTGACAAATCAAAAGTTAGGTTTAAAAACAGGTGGGGGGATGAATAGTATTTACAACTGGAAGTTTAGAGTAGACTTATCTCCAGGTAAGAGTGGATCTAGAAGCTCAAACCACAGCTTCTAGGCTCTGTTTTTTCTTCTACTTTAGGTCTTGTTTATTTATGCTTTTTCAATATGGTAGACTCGTTCTTCCTAGTATTACCATCGGAGCCCAAATCCAGTGAAAAGGTGATTTCTTCTCGATGTCCACTTGCCAATTTTAGAGAAGAATCTGAATAGGTGAGTTACTTAGGAATTATTTCACGACTGGACCAAGCAAGTGACAAAGGCAATGGGCCCTACTATGAGACACCCCTCATAAGTCTCATTTCATGGAATACAAGGTCATAATGAAAACCTTACCACAACTCCTGATATAAGGAAAGAGGTTGGCCCCACCATTCCAACAAGGCAAAGGGTAATAAAGAGATAAACATCAATCTGCAGCCAGTATAGTCATGAACAGACTGACTCCCACCAAAGGCTTTTGTTCAAACTTCATGCTCTATCACCCGCCAGTAACTCCCCGGTGGATTAGATATTCACCAGCGCTAGCACAATCTTACAAGTTCGAGGGTAGACCTGTGCGTCAGCAATGGCCTAGAGTGCTGTCGAAGATTGCTATTGTCTGCAAGAGACTTCTTCAATGAGAAGTGAGTCTTAATGGGCAGTGACAGCTACTATAGAGAATAAAGAATGTCCAAATCTGTGGGAAGGATTTTTAACATCTTGAAGTGGGAGGAAATAGAACCACTCTATGAAATTAACTACATTAGGCTTCAGTCAAACATATGGACTGGTCAAAACGTTACGAAGATAGTGAATGACACTGTGATAAAAGTGGCTATCTCCATGAGAGCTCATGACACTCTTCAGAGCTGAATGCCCATGCACCGTGCCATGAGCTACAGATTCTGAAGATAGAGACCTCAGTTCCAAGATCCACAGTATTTACATGAAAATTTCCAAACAACCATGCATTGTCAAAAATTTAAATCAGATTTAACCAAGCCCAAAGGAATGCTGAACTAAGAGCTTGAACCAAACCGCAAGAAAAATCCCAAATTAACTCTAAATAATTTTGGGGGTGTACTGGGGATCAAACTCAGGACATTGCACTTGCAAGGCAGGGGCAGTGCCACTGAGCTAAATCCCTGGCCCTAACTCTAAATAATTTAACTTCAATATTTTGTTTAGCAAGTAAATCAAAAGTCTTCATTGTTTTTAATAACTGGATATTATTTTACGAAGTTTCCAGAAAAGGTACAGGTTAGTGTTGTGATTCAAAACAGTAGACTACAATAACACTAATACTCCTTCAGGGAGAAATGTTGGTTCATTTATTTAGCAGATATCTATGGAAGACATAATATGCATTAGCATTAGCTCTTATTTGCTCCAGGTATAGTGATGGAGTACATCTATTACCTGCAGTGGGAGATTGCTAAGTAGAACTCATTGCTGGCCTCACAAATATCAAAGTCTGTTGAAGAGATCCCCCAAAATATGGAAAATCAATAAATACCCCCTTCCCAAAAATTCTAACATTAAATCCTCTTAAAGCAGGGACTGTCAAACTATGGCCCACAGGCTGTTTCTGTAAATAAAGTTTTATTAGTCCACAGATGAGCAGGTGTGTTTGCACATTGTCAAGGACTGCTTTTGTGCCGTCATGGAGAATTGAGTTGCTCCAGCTGATGCTGCATAGTCCACAAAACCTACACTATTTCCTATCTAACCTCTTAAAGAAGGTTTGTGGTCTTCTACAAAAAAGGGAGGGTGACTGTGTTAAAGTAGGGGGAGCAGGAACTGAGCGTGAAGCCTGGAGAGGGTGGGAGAAGGCAGTAGCGTTCCAGTTCTGACCAGTGTGATAAGGAGCCAGCCATGGAAATCAAAGCACTTCGGACAAACAGTACAATGGGGTGATTTGAGGTTTGTATGTCTGTTTTTAATGAGAATTATTTTTTCAACAAATAATGCAAGGGAAATATTTTAATCATCAGCTTCTAAGAGGTTCCAAGAAATAAGAATTAAGGCACATGTTTTAAAATGAGGCAATTGTCCGTAGCCTACTAGTAGCAGGTAATCGAGATTAAAAAAAACAACAACCACCACCTATTTTCAAATTATCTGCAGAGATAAGTTTATAGCGATTTCTATACAAATTTTGGTGTTTGTCTTATTTGTTGATTTATTATAAAATATAGCTTTACAAGTGATGAATTAGTTGCCAGGCTATAATATCCAGCAAGCCACAAGTGGTAATAGATGCCGAACGCTTTCAATTTATTTTCTGTGCAAGGTGATGAAAGTGTTTCTGGGTCTTGCCTGTATTCCCATTCAAAAGAATGCAGCTCCACACCCTTCCATAAGCAACCCAACAAAGAAGGGACACTTGGCACCCTCCTGGGTGTCGGCCTTGGTTTGCATGGTCAAGGGGTCAACGTAAAGCCTACCTCCTTCAGAGGCCTTTCTCTTCACCGGGCCTGGGACAAAACCACCCTAACTGTATTTCTCTTTCTCTCATTCTCACCCCTCCGTGCTGATTCAACACATCTGCTGGAACAGAGCTGGAGATATCTTTTCCAGGAAAGGGTATTCTGTTATCATCTGAGGACAAGCAGAAGGAGTAAGGCCAAGGAAGCTAAGCAAATGAGTGAATGAGGAAATCCAGGCTGCCTATGGGAAAGCTCTGGCTTATTTCCACCCACACCACGGTGACCTTTGTTTCCACAGAAGATGGGGGAGGCCCTGGGCAGAGAGTGCTGTTTTTCTGGAATGCCCCAGGTCTCCAGGAAAGGTTTCAAAACCCACGCCATCATCTGTGCAATAGCTCACACCAAGGTCCTTTTAACTTTCAATTCCAACATATACTTGGAAGAATTTCAGGTGGAAATCCACACTTAGTAATCATGTTCTTGCCTCTGTTTAAAAAAAAAAAAAAAAAGCTCATGCTCCAATTTCAGATATTTTCACAATACTTGAGGTGGTCTTGGGTGGATAAATTAAATCTGCTTGTCTCCTGATTGCCTTGATGGCTCCCCTTGTAACTTCACTTTGTATTCCGTTCTGTTCAATACTTTTCAAAGTACTGAGAGTTTAAAGAGGTACAATAAATCCCAGATCAGGTTTTAATGACCACGGTAAGCCTGCTTGTAATATGTCAGTGAGCTGAACCTAAAAGCCAATGGGGAATAGGCCATTTCTGCCTTAGTAATTGCCTCCACAGAAAGATTTATAATGTCATTATCTGAATCTATAAGAAATAACTCATGGAGCTGAAATACCCTAAAAAAATATTACAATTCTCTTAAAATCTAGTCATTCATAAATGCTAAATCATAACATTTTTTCAAGATGTTTTATGTTAAAAGTAAAAGCCCAGTAAAAATATAAATGCTCATTTCTTAATCAGATTCCTCATTCTTTATGTATCTGTTTGGAGCTTTGCAGTTTTCTGGGATATATTTATAAACCTCACATCGGGCTGCCAGATTCCTCTGTGACTGTAAGAAGCTTGGGCAGCCAAGGCGGTATTTCTCGTCACCTTTTTATCTCTGTGTGATACCAGAGAGTGAGTGAGGAGGAAAGGGCTAGCTGGTGTGGCAATGAAATTAATTTCAGCAATAAAAGTCACCTTTCCCCCTAATTTCTCCATGAAGAAAAAAAAAAAACAACCCAGGCTGAACTTCCTGACAAATGCTCCACACAGCTTTGTTAAGCCCTTTCTTTAGCTTTCCTTCCCTTAATGTTAAAAGAAAAAAAAAATCAGCCACTTCTTTCAAATAGCTGGAAACATCCTCTCCAGTTTGCCCAGAGTTTAATAAAGCCCTCAGCTTGCTGCATCTTCTTGTCTCCCTGTGCCATAAAACTGAGCAACAATTTCTACATTCTGGAGTGAAAGTGTTCTTTGGAGTCCAGAATCTATTACAATTTCAACATAACGCTCAAGATTTTTTCATAATTTGTAAAGTCATATTTTCTCCCTTTAAATCCAGTAATTTGCCATAAACTTGAATATGGAATCAGGTTCTTTCCACGATCTCTCCCTTCCTCCACTACCTACTCAAAGTTGGGGGTCTTTTTTCCTGAATATTTTTAACATCTAGGATTACAGCTGAGCCTTTGGGGGAAGAGGCTGTACGTTAAAGTTACTTAAATGCACTTGGGAAGGAAAAATAGTCTCTTTTCCCCCTACTTAATTTTTTTTTTTTTTTTACCATTTTCTTGCCACCTCATTGAACTGAGCACCATTATTCCATCCTTTGACTATTACTTTCAAGTTTAATGTTTCTGTAGGTGGTATTCCAGTAAGTATTTGGCTTCCACATAAGCAAAATGGAACCAACCTTCCTCCCTGGAACCTGCTTATATTATACCACCTGGCTATCCAGTTCCTAAAACCCGGAAACCTAGGGAGAAAGATGAAACACTTAGTTGTCTCTTACTACCTAAATCCAAAAGAACACCAAGAAAAATTCTACTGCCAAATATCTTCTCAATATGAATATTTTCTTTTATTACTACCATTAACAGCATAGCCACTTCTCACCTGGACTCATAAGCTACCTCCCAACTCATGGCCTCATGAATACCTAGTGGTACAGACAGAGGAGAAGTAAATACATCAGTTCATTTTTAGACAGTAATGAGAGCTATGCAGGAAATGCACCAGAATCAGAGCCTGCCACTTTGAGGCAGTGGAATGAGCTGAGATCTGACTGCAGAGAAGGAATATTCATTGATAATGCAGAGGAAGAAAAGTCCAAGCCAGAGCCCAAGCTGTTGGGCATCCCTGTGATAGAAACAACACTCACGTATTCAAAAGAGCAGACTGCAGTGTGGCTGGATGCTGGTGATTTTGGAGTAAAGGTGCCTAACATGAGGTAAGAATTGGACCACACAGGCCATGTGCTGTGCTCAGTTTTATGTGTCAGCTTGGCTGGGCTAAAAGGTGCCTGGGCAGATGATGAAATATTTGTGTGTGTGTGTGTGTGTGTGTGTGTGTGTGTGTGTGTGTGTGTGTTTCTGCCTGCCTGTCTGTCTGTCTGTAACAAAAAGGCAGAGGAGGCACTGATTCACTCTCCTTCTTAAGCCAGGACGCCCCTCTTGTCTTGCTGTTGGACCTCGGAGCTCCTGTTTCTTGGGCTTTGAACCTTAGGACCTATACTATCGGCTCACCTGATTCTCGGGTCTTCAAACCCACACTGATCTCACCACCAGCCTCTCTGGTTCTGGAGCTCACAGATGGCAGATGGTGAGACTCCTGAGCTTCCATAATTGTGACAGCCAGTTCCCAACATCTCCCCCTTCTTATCCATAGCTATCTGCTGTTGGCCGCGTTTCCCTGGAGAAGATTTGCTAATACATCGCATAAGCTACAGTACGGACCACAAGTGTAAGTGCACTTGGAAATCAACTGATGATTTTAAGCGAGGAAGCAGCCTGATTAGATTTTTGTTTTCAGAGAATCTGCCTTTTGGAGGGTGGGTTGGACGATAGCTGTGAATGAACTTCAAGGACAACAGAAAGCTGTTTTAATTTGGATAGGAGCTGCAATAACGACCCATCGCCTAGAGAATGAAGCTAAACTTCCATTCATGACACTTTAAGCCCCCGTATTCAGACCCCTGTTGCTTTGTCATGCTCATTTTTGACTATGCTTTGATGTTCTAGACCCAATGGCGGGTCAGCACACGTCTTGAACCCATCCTGAGTGATTCCCATCCAGCCTTGAACTTACAGAATTCCCATCTCCCTGATGGTATGTTCCCTTCTTCAAATCCCATCTCTCACAGCAACCAAACCATGCAACCCTTCTTCCTCTGCAGCAATAAACTGAATCTCTTTATTTAAAAAGCAGATATGGTGCTTGCCATCTCTTGCGTTATTGCTTCTGATTATCATCATTTACCTCTGCTGTTATTTCATTTCCCACGTGTGTGCATATGTCCCATTCCCAGACGCACTGTAAAACCCCCGAGGGTAAAGACTTTCCTTCTGTTCCTGCCCATCCCCTGCAATGCCTGGCATGGTGCCACGCCCCCAGCACGGCACTCGGGGCAAGTTGCTCTGCCGAGAGGGCAGGGCTAAAAGCGCTTCTCGGAACTCAGAGAAACATCGCATTACCTAATGAGAAGATAAGTAAACAAGTTAAAATTTGGAGAGACGCTTTTAAAAGATACTGCTTTTTTAAAATAGCTTCTTTCCTGAAAAGTCTTTCCTCTAAAAACCACCAGCTTTGATTAAAATTGGATATAGAATGGGAAGTGGGCTTAATAGCCTGTTGATCATTAGCTCTGCAACTCTAATCTGGATTGAGATCAGAGATTTAAATCTAAACTTCTCTGAAGAATCAGCTCAAAGACTCGCATTAAGGGAAAGGGGCCATGGGCATAGATGAATTGGATGTTCACACCACCTGAGGGTCAAGGATTAGGGACCATAGGATTGAAGCCAGAGAAAGCCCAGCACAGGTGAATGAAAGATACTGATACAGCTGAATGCATCTCCTGTAAGACTGTCTACCTGTCTTAAATACGAGTTGGTCTTGAGGACAGCTTGCTTTTGGCTTCTCATTTCTTGCCATGGGTCTTTGCTTTAGGGGGCAGGAAACTCTATTCACAAGCTAAGACTTTAAGAATGAAAGAGCGTGATTGCTTGAATCGTGGCCACAGGATTTCTCTCTTCTGTGGGTAGTTTCCGGTGTTTGTGATGTTGAAAGTCCATGGAAAGGACACTGGGTACCAGTATGGCGGAAAGGTAAAAGCGGGCCAGATGGCTGCATATAAAATGTGAAACTGGTGGCTATGGGGAAAATAGCATGCATTATCTAAGACTTCTGAGAGGGAAAAAGGACAATTCACGAGGATGGGTGGTGTCACAAATCACTTTCCTGGATAAAGAAAGTGCTAGAATCCCCTTGAGACAGCTTCTACATGTGGAGACTGAACAGTCTATTCATTGTACATGCTCTAGAATAAGGTTTCCCAATTGTGGCCCTGCTGATGTTTGGCGCAAGATGACTCTTGCTTGTAGATGTGGCCTTGCATCTTGTGAGCGCTCTGTAGCTTCTGGGACCTCTGCCCACTGGGTGCCTGGATCTGCTCCTCAACCAAGATGCAACCTAAAATGTATCCAGGCACCGGGGGGAGCCACACAAACAGAGAGTAAAATCATCTTCAGTTAAAAAGCACTGGGCTATAGTCAGGATGACCCGAGTTTAATTTTCAACTTCTTTCCTCTTGCATCTGTGAAGTGGGGAAGGGTATCAGCCACCTCAAAGAGTTCAGACAATGTTTAATGGGAAGGATGCAAACCACGAGCTCAGCTCTGGCACACAGCAAGGACCCAACAAATATTAGCCATCACTATTATTGCTAGTATTTACTGATCATGTCCCAGGAAGATAACCACACACTCTGTTAGGTTTAACACTTTTAAACAATTTAGAGGAAAGGAAAAAAAAGCCACTTTTGTCTATGATATTATTTCACATGCCTGGTTATGAAGAATACAGTTGCCTCCCACCATGCCACCCCTCATAGGTAAACTCAAGGCTCCTGAATTCTTTCAACCTCCACTACACATAATTTGAGTGTTAACAAAATCTTCTGCTATTTGCCTTGTTTTTTTTTTTTAAGGAAATGCTCCTTTTTCCTCGTCTTCAAGTCGGTTTTCAAATGAAACAGCAGAAGAATGTCACGCACACCAATTATCTAATTGTGAAACTGATCTTCTTTTAGAGCATTTGTGTTTTTGACATAAAGAGTCGTGAAGTGGTGAGTTTTCAGCATGATTGTTAGGCTGATTGCTGAGTGCCAGATACCACAGACCAAAGAGTTTTTAGCTTAAAATATTACATTATTATTTCCCAGGGAAAATCATTTTTCGTCAGCTACAATAAACTATGTCCTCTGGGTTGGGCCTAGGTGGTCTCCAACCTGTGCATCAGAATGAGCGGTCCTGTGGCAGATCTGAAAGGGGTACACACAAAAAAAATGACTAACATTTAGCTCTTCCATGGCTAATTTGCGTTTGTTTAGTTTTGCTTTCTAAAACATTTTATTTTTATTAGTCCAAGTTTGCAGCACATAATGATTACATTTATTGTGGGGAGTTGGTCCATGTACGTGGCACATAATTCTCTTTCTGTCCCGTTCCTCTTTGTCTCCCCCCTCTCCCATCACCACCTCTTGGTCCCCTTCCCATTTGCAAAAGACCTATCTCCCTGTTTCCCATCATCTATCATTTATTTTGCTCTTTAATTTATTCATACTTTGGTTTTCTCATATAAGTGAAACCATATTATGTTTAAGCTTGTGTGTCTGATTTATTCACTTAATATCATAACGTTGTATCCAATTTCCTACAAATGACTCAAATTCACCATTTTTTATATCAGAGCAGTACTCCATTTTGTATAAATACCATGTTTTATTTATCCATTCATCTCTTGATGGACACATAGGCTACTTCTGAGAGTTAGCTATTAGGAACTACACTGCTATAAACATGGGTGTGCATGTAACCCTGAGATATGTGACTTTAACTCTTTGGGGAAGACATCTAGAAGGGAAATAGCTGAGTCTAAAGGAATTTCTCTTTGTAATTTTTTGAAAAATCTCCATATTGGTTGTACTAGTCTACATTCCCACCAACAATGTACTTTTTTCCTTTTTCTCCCATAACCTCTCCAGAAAGAATCCTACCATCAAGAAATCATATTATTTGATTAATTGAAAATAGCCCTTCTTTCTTGAATAAAATGGAAACTCGGTGTTGTTGGAATCTGCATTCCTGTAATGGCCATTGATGTTGAACATTCTTTAATATATTCATTGGCCATCTGTGCTTCCTCTTAACTTTAGTTCCCCCTCTTTGATTGCGTCTTTTATTTTGGGGGGGTCTAAATTATTTGGGTTCTTTATCTATTCTAGATATTAGTCCTCTGTCTGAGATGTAGCTGGCAAAATATTTTTCAGCTGCACTCATTTGGTTGTCTCCTTTGCTGTACCCTCAGTGCTGGCCTTGTGCCTTGTTTGAGTCCTTACTTCCTGCTAGAACTGTTTGTGTCTTGCTTGCCTTATCCATTTGTTTTTGGCTGTTTCCTTTGCTGTGCAAATGCTTTTTAATTTGATATCATCCTATTTGTTAATTCTTGGTGGTACTTTTATACAATTGGGTTTCTATTCAGAAAATCCTTGTTACACCTATGACTTCAAGAGCTTCACCTATTTTATCTTCCAGCATTTTAAATGTATCTGTCTAATATTCAGATCTTTGATCCATCTTGATTTTAGTTTGGTACCTCGTAAGAGATATGAGTCTAGCTTCAATCTTCAGGAAGACGTAGAAATGAAACAATATTAATGAGTCTCTAATGTGTGAACAAACCTTTTTATGTTAATCCTATCACCCAACTTACCTGGCTATTAAATAGCAAAATTGCACAAGTAAACAAAAACTTTCCATGTTAAACAATTAGATATATGGAAATACTAAAATGTACCCTGAGACTGTTGTGTCTGATTGGTTTGGAAGCCACCTAGGAATCTTTCCTGTGACCATTAAAGTTGAGGCCACTGGGTGTGTCTGGGTGGGTAGTGGAGGTGTGGCCTTGGGTACCATCTGTGGTCCCTTTGCCTTTCCTTTCTGACTCTGCATCCTTGCTCTGCCTCTCTGCTGCTGTGAACTGGGCACCTTTGCTCCCCACGCCCTTGCTGCCGTGATGTTCTTGCCTTGGAGCCAGCCAGCTGTGAGCTAAATCCCTGGAAACTTGTGAGCCAAACTCTTACCTGTGCTCTTGTAACTTGTGGGTGTGGGGCATTGTGTTCCAGCAAAAGAAAAGTTGACACCCCCCC